TAATTTTTGTAGTTCCCCTTTGAAATGTATACAATATCTCAAAAGTTGGGTCAATATCCTGGAAACAAAGGATTATGTAATTCATACAAAATTATCCAGTGAAAAGTTTAAAATTTTGTGTAACTTTTATTTCCATAGAACTAAAAAGCATTGCATAAAAATAAAAGCAGAAGGAGCATATCTTTTCAGTTTTTTATGAGGTAAAAATATTCAACATATAGGAAGCCAGTGCAATTTTTGTGTCAATATTTGGAAGGGGTATCGTTTTTCCTATTTTTTTTTCTTTCAAAGCAAGATTATAATGGCTTTTATTTTGTGTTCATCTGATTTTAGGTTTAAATTGCCCAAGGAAGTTGCATAATATTGAGTACTATTGCCTAGGTTCTATATTTCATGTGAGAATTATCTTTACATAAGAAAGACAGTTTAAGGGAAAAAATATGGCAACCACTTCATTCATAAGAGAAATTATGTTTTGTTCACTTGTATTTTGTTGGCTGACATATTTGTTACCTGGATTCACAGCATACTTTTCACAGATGAAGATTAAGTCATTTCCATGACCTTCTAATTTTTGGCCCATCCCCCGTAGGCTGTAGAATAAATGGTTTTCATGTAATATTTTCTTGTGTCTCCACCGTTGATTGGTTTAGGGAAATGATGTGTGTGTGTGTGTGTGTGTGTGTGTGTGTTTATCAAAAATGACAACCAGCACAAAAGTCTCAAGGTCAGAAATACATTTTAAGTACATGCCTGGTGAAATACATAAACTTTTTGTTACAAAACACTTACTTAATAATAGGGAAAAGGGAATAATTAACAGTTAAAATGAAATACTCTTCTCAGCCATTTTAGTAACTTCACTATTAAAGTTATTAAAACATTGCAACTCTATGGAGTAATGTTGCAGAAGTCATTTGAGACTGGCTAGAATCTGAGAGCCGGAGCTCCAGGGGAAAGACATTTGGTGCCTAATGGTATTTCCTACCATCTCAGGAGGAAATAGCTGTTTTGTCAGACAAAGTGGAACAAGTTAGTATGTAGCCTATAACTTTCTAATATAAGTATCAAAATATGGAGAAGAGCTAACTCCCTAATATTGGGCAGGTATGTGATCTGTTATTTAGGACTTTGGGTACACACACACATACACACACACACACACACATACATGCACACACATTCATCCAACCTTTTTTACTGGAACATTTCCACATTAAAGAATATCAGTGTTCCAGAAAGTTCTAGAGCTGAACAAATCAGTTTTTAAAGTATTCTTGTTTGTCTTTCAAATATTTGAAGTGCAGTTATAGAGCCTTCAAATTCTATCTTTGCAAGATAAAATTTTTAACATTGAAAAATTATTGATCTGATAAATGAGGGTAAGTCTCATATATTTATTTTTCTTTGTTCTCCAGAGTTATATGGTGTTTCTGTTTCAAAGCCTTGCATTCTGACAAATTGCTAATAGTTTACTTGTTTTATTAAAGGACTCTAGGGAGTCATAAAAAGAGCATTACAGATCAAAATCCCAAGGTAGGGACTTCCCTGGTGGTGCAGTGATTAAGAATCCGCCTGCCAATGCAGGGGAAACGGGTTTGAGCCCTGGTCCAGGAAGGTCCCACACGCCTAGAGCCTGTGCTCGGCAACAAGAGAAGCCACCGCAATGAGAAGCCTGTGCACCGCAACCAAGAGTAGCCCCCGCTCGCCACAACTAGAGAAAGCCCGCACACAGCAACGAAGACCCAACGTGGCCAAAAATTAATTGATTAATAAATTAATAATAAAAATAAAAATCCCAAGGTAATACACTCTTATTTTCCATTTTCCCCTGTGTTCCATTATTTTCTCCTGTTTATTTGAATGAATGGGTCACACACAAAATAGAGGCTTGTATGCTTGGTATGATTACTTATAGTCCTGTAGTCTTGTCAGAATTTGTGGGAAGAAGTTTGACTAAACAACTATTAATCCTATTGTTTTATTATACTTTGTAAAAGAAGACGCTCTAGGTTCATAAAATCAATTTTAAAAAAAAACAAGGTAATAACTGCTTTACTTGGTGTTATGTGTTTAAAAACGTTACAATCTTTCTCTAAATTTCTGCATTTATTAACACAGGTTATGGTGGAATAGGGTGAAAAGGAAATAGAACGAGGTAGCATGAACTATTCTCAGCCCCGTTACTTTTACATGTGTTCTCCCATCTTCATTCACTGCCTCTCAATAGACAAATTAAGCAGTCATAAAAAAAATTGCTTTGATATTGTGTCCATCTACAAATATAATTCTGTGTAACTTCCATAAACTTGTTTTTAAGAGGAAGCAGAATGGCCCAATGATCAAGATTCAGGGGCTAGATCCCTTTGAGTTGGAATTTAGCTCAGCTATTTTCCAGCTGTGTCTTTGACAAGTCCCTTACTGTCTCTAAACCTTGGATTTTTTGTGTGTACAATAGGGATGCCTACTGTGATGGCTAATTTATGTGTCAACTTGGCTGGGCCTCAGGATGCCCAGACATTTGTCAAACATTATTCTGGGTATGTCTGTGACGGTGTTTCTGGATGATATTAACATTTGAATAGGTAGACAGAGTAAAGCGGATTTCACCCCTTCATGTGGGTAGGACTCATCCAATCAAGTGAATACCTGAATAGAACAAAAGGTCTGTAACCTTTTCTTTCTTGTAACTGGTATCATGAACATTTCCTCATATTATTAACCACCTTTCTACTTTCTGTTTTTGTGACTTTGACTACTCTAGGTACTTCATGTGAGTAGAATGATATATAATTTGATCTTTCGTGACTTTTTAAAATTTTTCATTTAGCATAATGTTCTCAAGTTTCATCCATGTTGTAGCATGTGATATTCCATTGTAGGTATACACCACAATTTCTTTATCCAGTCATCTGTCAGTGGATACATGTGTTGCTTCCACTTCTTGGATATTGTGAATAATGCTGTGATGAACATGGTGTGTACAAATATCTCTTCGAGTCCTGCTTTGAGTTCTTTCGGATGACGTTATATTTTTAATGTGCTTTTATTCCCTCTCTCACCTGGCCATCCCACTTGGCCCTCTTCTAGATTTGTTTTCTTTTTCTAAACACAAGCATTGCAATTGAATGCAGTCAGGGCCATAGATTCCAATGAAATATATCCCTGAGGGACCTCAGAATGCAAACCTGGGCACCAAGCAGCTGGAAACACACAATGACAGGAAAGGATAAACCAATGTGTGCAACAATGTAAAATGAGATACTTACTTTGTGTGAAGAGTGAAGCCACTTAAGATGAGCTCGTTTATCTCCCCTTCACTGTAAAGCTTTCTTCTCCTTAATTTCGTCTCAGTCACAGAAGAAAATGCCTTTAGACTTAGCCAATCTTCTTATGATAATATGGCACTCAGATCCACACCCAGCTCCTCCCTTCTCCTGGCTCCACTACTGGAGGGTGGAAATAATAACAAACCCTCACTGAGTACTTATTACGTTCAGGCATTGTCCAAGCTCTTTCATATGTTAACTCACTTAATACTCACAAAAGCCCATGAGAAGCCCTAATTTTTATCTGCATTTTACCAATAAAGAACTGAGGCACAGAGAAATTAAATAACTTGTCCAGTACAAGTGGGAGCTGGGATATTCAGGTATATAAAGATATAGTAATAGGTACACAGAAAATTAAGCAAGTTTAAAAAGTACACTTAACTCCAGAAAAAACAAAGTTCCAAAGCAAAGGAATGTAATCATATCCACTATTTAGTTCATCTATGAATAATATTTTCATAATAATAATGAATACTACTGACTTAACAAAAATTGTGATAGAACTAGATTGTGAGGACAGGAGGAGGAGAGATACAGGATAATGAGTGGGTGGTTTGAGACCACAGAATTTTCATCTTTCATGGTACAAAGTCAATAGGTGATTCTGAAATTGGTATATGAAGAAATAGCAATGTAAGAATATTTTTGGAAACATAACACGAAACCGTTAAAATAGTTGTGTCATTTTCTCAGATGCAGATAACAAAATTTTCCATAGCAAGTTTAAGGAAGGGATATTAGTTCACAAAACAACTCCTGGAGCTACATTACAGAACTGGCCTAGTAAGGGTGCTGCTGAGGCTGTCTCCAGAGCTAGCTGTGTCTACTGTGGTCAGGAAACTCTGACCAGTTTTGCTGCCAAAACTGACCCCTGAATATATTGTCTGCTGTACGCATACCAGCAAAAATGGACTGCAGTCACCCAGCCTCTTTCCTCACATTCTTTGCGTCAAAATCAAAGTATATGATTAGCAGAACCTCAGTCACATTCCCTAATCCAGTAGCAAGGGAGACTGGGGTTTTTTCCCTTAATTCTATCTTGGTAAAGTGGGATTCACAATGAGGGGGTTATCAAACTATGGAGAAGGTGTTTGCAAGATTTGGGGCAGCCATGAATGACAGATATTCACTATACACGCCTTATCTCTTCTTTCTAATCCCCTGTTGTCCTCAAATCACTAAAACTGTAATCTCCTTCATAAATAGCTCATAAATCTGTTCACTTTTCCCCACTCTCCCTGCCATTTCTCTAGTGTAGATCACTTTAACAACTTCTCAACTGGTCTCCCTTCTGGCAGTGTTGACTCTTAGATCTGAGTATGGAAAATAAGAGGCTAGATAAGAGAAGGAGAGAAAAGCTTTGAAATTTATGGGTTTTCTATAAACATTGTCAAATTAAAATTTAATTGTAGACAATGCCAAAGGCAGAAATAAATCTAAATTGTTTCCACAGGGACAATTTAGTCTTTTGTTTGTTTGGTTTTTTTTTTTTTTTTGCGGTACACGGGCCTTTCACTGTTGTGGCCTCTCCCGTTGTGGAGCACAGGCTCCAGACGCGCAGGCTCAGCGGCCACGGCTCACGGGCCCAGCCGTTCTGAGGCATGTGGGATCTTCCCGGACCAGGGCACGAACCTGTGTCCCCTGCATCGGCAGGCGGACTCTCAACCACTGCACCACCAGGGAAGCCCTAGTCGTCTTTTAAATGGAAACAAAACTCCTCCCTGAACTTCAGTGTTGACTTATGAACATATTCAAGGCAGCCACATGGGGGATGGTGCAAACTCTCTGGACTGGGAGACTAGAGCTTAGGTTCTGTGATCTTCTTTACTCTTTCTGTAATCTTGAGCAACCTCTCTGAGCTTATTCACTATAGAAGCATTAGAGAATTTCTATGGAATAATCAGGCATTTAAAAGCACTGAGGTTGTTGGAAGTGTCCAAGTGACTAAACAAATGATGACCAACCTACACACCAAAATGCTATGTAGGCATTAAAAAGAAGGATGTAACTCTAAATATGCTAATGTAAAACAATTTTCAAGATATTCTGAGTAAGAAAACATGGTATAGAACAATGTATATAGTATGCTACCATTTGTGTGTGTGTGCATACCAGCATGTGTGTGCGCTTTTAAAGAATATAGACATATTCATGCTTGTAAATTCACAGACCGTCATTGGAAGGGCGCACAAGTAACTGTCAATAGTGGTTGCCTTCAGAGAAGAGAACTTAATGGCTGGAGGTGAGAAGTGTTCATCATCTTTTGAATTTTGTTCCATGTTCATATATTACCAACTCAAAAAATAAATACATGTATTTTTAAAGAACTTGGAATTAACTCCTATTTTTGAAGTCTGAAGAGATGAGAATTAAGAGATAATTAAATCTGAAACTTGGGTGCAGCAGAAGCTTGGGGCTCATCTGTTACCTGAATTTCTCCACACCTTCATTTTTCTTTTTTTCTGAAGCAGTTGAAACTTTAAATATTTAAATATCTATGGCTTCCTAGGTAGGGTTTTTGTTATGCCATACATCTGTGTATTTCTCAATTTCTTTGCTTGGAACAGATTCATTAAATTCTATTAAATACTCAAAAGGTATAAATCATGAAAAGTGGAGGGACTTTCAATAGGAATTATTTTTCAGGAGCTTAGAAATAGTTACGCCTAATGGTTTTATAATACCTGCAGTGCAGCATTTTGCAGTGTACGGAATGCACTCACATACTTTATCAGCTGATCCTTTGTGCAGAAGCTCCATGTGATTTTTGCTATTCTCAGCTTTGACCATGAACTAAAATTAGAACTAGGCTGACATTACATTTCACTTGGTTACAGTCTGACTGAGGATTTTAATCATTCGGAGTCACACTGAAAACAATTCTCCCAGCAATCCACTCCTAGCTGATGCACTAACTTTGGTCATGTCAGCGTTTGCATCTACTGACTGTGGTAAGTATTTTTCAAAAACATTTTTTCCCATTCTTGACATATAAATAAATTGCTGTTGATGTTTATACTGTGTCAGTATTTGCTGGAATGTACAACTAAAATTGGAATTGAATTTAAAAGTCTCTTGGAGGTTCATGGTCATTCATGTAGTTGTCCTCCTCAGGAAGATTGATTTCCCCAGAAGTCAAGAAGTATTTCTTCTGAGATTGTATTTCTTTTGTTTTCTTTTGACTCTGGGAAGCTGACTCCTGAGTCATGTCACAGCCATGCCTACTTCACTGCCACGCAATGTGCTTTTCTGTTGTGGTAATCAAGGTAGAGAACACAATCCCATGCTGAAGGCAGACACACATATCACTACTGACTTGTTTTCCTCAAAGGGGCATTGGTCACTATTACAGAAAAACAGATGGTTGACCAAAGTTTAATGGCAAGCGAGGACACGAATGAGCACATGAATAGTTATATATGTCCAGTAAAATACACATTTACATGTAGATACTTGAGATTTTAAACTTTATTATTTGATAAATAACTACTTCAAACCTGCTTACATCTGAGATAATAAATTGTAACTGGACAGGGGGTTCGATTATTAGCATAAATATCCCAAGGTTTCTTGATGGCAAAAAGATCTTGCAGATCTGTTCCTGTTTAAATTCCACATGCATTGCTTAAAATAAGGACCTCCTCCTAATAATTTTCTGCATATTGGCACTTATACATTCATCCTGAAACATTAAACTTTTTCCCTCTGTAATATCAACACATTTTTCTCCCTGTCTCTGTCCTTCTCTCACACACACACTGCATACTTTTAGTTTAAAGAAATCAGTAATTTAGAGATTAATAATGAAAAGCAATATTATCCACCCCATTTCTATCACCCTAGAAGTAACCATTTTTTAAAATAGATCTTTATCGGAGTATAATTGCTTCACAATACTATGTTAGTTTCTGTTGCACAACAAAGCGACTCAGCCATATGCATACACATGTCTCCATATCCCATCCCTCTTGAGTCTCCGTCGCCTCCTCTCTATTCTACCCCTCTAGGCCATCGCAGAGCACAGAGCCGATCTCCCTGTGCTATGCTGCTGCTTCCCACCAGCCAACTATTTTACATTCAGTAGTGTATATATGTCGATGCTACTCTCACTTTGCCCCAGCTTTACCCTCCCACCCCATGTTCTCAAGTCCATTTTCTATGTCTGCCTCTTTATTCCTGTCCTGCCCCTAGGTTCATCAGTACCCTTTTTTTTTTTAATTCCATATATATGTGTTAGCATACGGTATTTGTTTTTCTCTTTCTGACTTACTTCACTCTGTATGACAAACTCTAAGTCCATCCACCTCACTACAAATACCTCAATTTCGTTTCTTTTTATGGCTGAATAATATTCCATTGTATATATGTGCTACATCTTCTTTATCGATTCGTCTGTTGATGGACACTTAGGTTGCTTCCATGTCCTGGCTATTGTAGATAGAGCTGCAATGAACATTGTGGTACATGTTTCTTTTTGAACTATGGTTTTCTCAGGGTATATGCCCGGTAGTGGGATTGCTGGGTCATGTGGTAGTTCTATTTTTAGTTTTTTAAGGAACCTCCATAGTGTTCTGCACAATGGCTGTATCGATTTACATTCCCACAAACAGTGCAGGAGGGTTCCCTTTTCACCACACCCTTCCCAGCATTTATTGTTTCTAGATTTTTTGATAATGGCCATTCAGACTGGCATAAGGTGATACTTCATTGTAGTTTTGATTTGCATTTCTCTAATAGTGATGTTAAGTATCTTTTCATGTGCCTCTTGGCCATCTGTATGTCTTGCTTGGTGAAATGTCTATTTAGGTCTTCCACCCATTTTTTTTTCTTTTGCGGTACGCGGGCCTCTCACGGTTGTGACCTCTCCTGTTGCGGAGCACAGGCCCCGGATGCACAGGCTCAGCAGCCATGGCTCACGGGCCCAGCCGCTCCGCGGCATGTGGGATCTTCCTGGACCAGGGCACGAACCCGTGTCCCCTGCATCAGCAGGCAGACTCTCAACCACTGCACCACCAGGGAAGCCCCCACCCATTTTTTAACTGTATTGTTTGTTGTTTTGATATTGAGCTCCATGAGCTGCTTGTATATTTTGGAGATTAATCCTTTGTTGTTTCATTTGCAAATATTTTCTCCCATTCTGAGGGTTGTCTTTTTGTCTTGTTTATGGTTTCCTTTGCTGTGCAAAAGCTTTTAAGTTTAATTAAGTCCCATTTATTTATTTTTGTTTTTATTTCTGTTACTCTAGGAGGTGGGTCAAAAAAGATCTTGTTGTGGTTTATGTCAAAGAGTGTTTTTTCCTATGTTTTCCTCTAAGAGTTTTATAGTGTCTGGTCTTACATTTAAGTCTTTAATTCTTTTGGAGTTTATTTTTGTGTATGATGTTAAGGAGTGTACTAATTTCATTATTTTACATGTAGCTGTCCAGTTTTCCCAGCACCACTTATTGAAGAGGCTGTCTTTTCTCCATTGTATGTTCTTGCCTCCTTTGTTGTGAAGTAACCATTTTAACTATTTCAGGATTAGTTTTCAGTGGTTATCTCCATAGTACATTTTTTTTCCAAAGGCAGTTATGCTGTGTCTTCTCAGCTTTAGACATTATCTATGGAGTTTCATTATGAAAGATGATGCTTAAATTCACTTGCACCCCCATAGAGTTATATCCCTATTTTAATTTCTTTTGATTGCCTTATAACTTAAATCTCTATTTCTTGTTCCATAAAGTATAGACAGTATCTCTTGACTCCCCTACCCTCTACTTCCCCATTTCCTTCTTCCACATTCTATTAAAAGTACTTTTATTTTTATATTTTCAAGATGTACCACATTTATTACATTCTGGTTGTTAGCCATAACTCTTTGCTTTTTCATAGGTTGATTTATTTCAAAAAGTTGATTTTCATCATTCAAAAAAGAAACTTCGTACTCTTAGCAATCACTCCTATTTCCCCCTCTGCAAAGCCCCTGGTTATCACTCATCTATTTTCTTTCTTCATGGATTTGCCTATTCTGGACATTTCATATAAATGGGATTATACAATTGGTGGTATTTTGTGTCTGGCTTCTATCAGCATAATTTTACTCAAAATTTCTCCATGATGTAGCATGTATCAGTGCTTTGTTCCTTTTTATGCCAGAATAACATTCCATTGTATGGATACACCACATTTTGTTTGTCCATTCGTTAGTTAATAGCCATTTGTTTTCCACTTTAGGGCTCTTAGAATAATGCTACTATCAACATTCATGTACAAGTTTTTGCGTGAACATATATTTTCATTTCTCTTGAGTATAAACCTAGGAGTGATCTTTTTCTTTTTTGTATTTCCATTTTTTTCTATCTTTATGTTTTAGGTGTGCCTTTTGTAAACAATACGCAGGATTTTGTCTTTTATTCAACTGGACAATCTTTGTTTAGTAGCCTGGAGCATTTATTAATCAGGAAAGCGTAAATGATAACCATGATGAGATGTCATTTTATGTAGTAGTGTATTGGTGAGGATATACATCAGTGGGGACACTTACACAGTTGTAGTAAGAGTATAAATGGGCAGAATCATTTTGGAAAACAATTGGGCTCTATCTTAAAAATTTAAACAGTCACATACACAGTGATCTAGCAATTCTAGTCCTGGGTATATACACAATAGGAATAATACCACTTGAGCAACAAGAAGATAAGAACAGGAATTTTAGAAACGGTATTACTCATAATAGCAAAAATCTGGGACCCAAGTATCCATATTAATTAGAATGGACAATAAACTGTCATAGTCATACATTTTGGAGATCATGGTATATCAGTATATAAAATGCTTTTCCGGGCTTCCCTGGTGGCGCAGTGGTTGAGAGTCCGCCTGCCGATGCAGGGACACGGGTTCGTGCCCCGGTCCGGGAAGATCGGCTGGGCCCGTGAGCCATGGCCGCTGAGCCTGCGCGTCCAGAGCCTGTGCTCCGCAACAGGAGAGGCCACAACAGTGAGAGGCCCACGTACCGCAAAAAAAAAAAAAAAAAAGGTTTTCCTTCTTTTGGAGCTATATAATTTCCCATGATATGCATGTACTATAATTTATTGGTGGAAAGTATGTTGTTTCCAATCTTTTGCTGTTATGAAAAACACCATAGTGAATAACTTTGTAATATGTCATTTTACAATTGAAAATATTTACAGTATATATTCTTATGAGTGTGAATGTGGCTCTGTAAGTTTGATAGATATTACTAAAATTCTCTCCATAGAGAATATAACAATATATACTGTCACCTTTAGTGCATGAGAGTACCTTTTTTCCTATGCTGTTGCAAATTTCACTTTTTCCTTTCCAAACTTTATACCTTTCTATTTAATTTTCTTGCATTATTGCATTCCAGTATAATGTTGAATAGAAGTGGTAATTGTGGACATCTTTGACTTCTTGCATTTTGAACAAAATAGTTCAATTAATTGTGAATCAAATTTTTTCATTATTACTAATATAATCTGGTGAAAAATCAATACTATTATTTGTAAGACAAAGAGCATTCCATCAGATAGATCTACCATAATTTACATAACCATTCCCCTATTATTATTTTCCTCTCATTTCTGAGATTCACATCACAATCCTCAGTGTTAGATGAGTCCAGTTTGCAATTTATTTTACACAAGAGAAAACAATACCAATATATCCCACTTAACTGAATTCCAGCTTGTACATATAGCATTTAGATTAAGCAGATATACCAAGATACCTGCTTATCTTGTATATCCATTATTAAACATTTCCTTATAATTGGACACGTAAACCAGTTGCAGTTTTTCATTATTGTGAATTAATAGTAACAAAGGAAGTAGACTTGGCATCAGTTCCCCCCTCTGCCACTTATTAGAGATGAGACCTTAACCAATTGCCCACCTTTTTTAGGGGTCGGTTTTCTCATGTGTATTAGAGACAATAAAAGTACCCATGTCATGATATTTATATGAGAATTATTTAGTGAAATATGGCATGTAAAGTGCATAAAATAGTTTTGGGAACATGGAATGTGTTCAATAAAAAGCTATTACGATCATTGTGGTACTCAGTAAACGTTCTGAAACATTACTGTTTTTTTTTTTTTCCTCTGGTACAATCAGGCCCTTTCTGAGATGGCATCTGTGATTCAGCTATTCAAAATGAAGTTGGTGACTCTGTGACAATGTGGAGAAGTCATGTCAGACAATGTGGTTTGTACTGGGGCTGTCAATGCTGTAAAGGAAGTTTGGGAGAAAAGAATAAAGAAATACAATGAAGACCTGAAGCGAGAGAAGGAATTTCAACAAAAGTATGCTATAACATGTTTATTATCTTGAATTAGCAAAAATTCATAACATCCTCATTATTAAAAATAGTATTTATTAAATGCCTATTATTGAATTTGATAGAGTTTCTGTTTACTGAAAACCCAAAATATAACTAAAGGAAGCACCTGACAATTAAGTGTGGCCATGTGATGGGGGCCACAAAAAATACAAGTGTCTGTAAGTGAAAATAGTAGTTGTCCTAGGAGTCTGTTCAACTTCATCAAAGTTTGATTAGTATCATTTAGTCTACTTTTCAGAGATTGTTTGTTCAACATTATATTCCCTAGGATCTAAAACAACAATGGGCAGTAGAAGGTACGGTAGATTCTCACCTATTTAAATAGCTGTGAGTTCCAGCCAGGGCCCCTGTGGATCACCTGATTCCTCTATTTGGGCTATACTTAAATAGTTCGGTTCTCACTTCCTCTGCCTCATTGATACCAACCTACCTTCCTCATTGGATATCTCCAAATTATCCTACTACTCTTGCAAGGATAGCCCCTTTCCTCATAGATTCCACATAGCCCCCTACAGTTATCATTTGTTAGGTCTCTTTCTAAACATTAAATAGTCTTGCAATATGTACAAATATCAAACCATTATGTTGTACATCTAGAACTAATATAATGTTATATGTCAGTTATATCTCATTTAAAAAAATGGTCTTGTGTCAGCAAATAACAGAAAACTCAACTAAAAATGGGTTAAACAATAAGGAAGTCCTGAGGTAAGGCAATTCCAAAGCTTCAACAGTTTTAAAGACTCAGCTTCTTTTTATCAGTGTGTCAGTTTAGTCCTCAGGTTAGCTTCTCTCAGTGTCACAGGATGACTGGTATACTTCCAGGCAACACAGCCAGGCATCATTATGTTATCAGAAGAGCAGGAATTATTTATTTCTTTATCTTCTTTAAGAATGAGAAAACCTTTCTGAGGTCTCCATCAAACTTCTCCATCACCTCTCATTGGCCAGAATTGGGATCATTAGTACACCCCTAATCCAATTACCTTCCAGGGAAATGAGATTGTATGATTGGTTTAGACAAATTAAGATTTATACTTGGGTAACTTGGAGGAAGTGTAAGCACTTAGAAATAACTGGCATTCTCCCAGCAAAGAAGAGGGCTGGCACAGCACTGCACTGAGTCACACATTCAGGCTTTTATCTTGTTGTTCAACTGTGCACAGTCTCCATTCCTTTAGGAATGGACTTTAGTCACCTCATGGCCCCAAATACATAGATACACCAACTGTGGCCAATGTACTTGATTCTAGCCAGCAGGAAGTTGCACACATGACTATTTCTGCTAACATCTCACTAGCCAAAGCTTCATATGACCCATACCTAACTGCAAAGGAGGATGGCTAAATGAAGCCTTGTGCCCAGTTAAATTTAGAGGATCTGTTACTGAGGAAGAAGAGGAGTAACAGATACTGGGGAATGATAAGCAGTCTCTGCCACACATAGGTGATATTATTTTCTCCATTTTAAAGATGGAAAACCTGAAGGATAGGCCTAGGTAACTTGTCAAAGATCACACGGCTAATAAATGTGGAACTGGTATTCACTTGTATTCATACCTAAGCAATGTGACTCAGTAAGCTTATGTTCACCTTAGGTCTTAAATTTCCCTAGACTGAAATGTGTAAAACTACTCTTATGACACATATTATGTTTATATTATACAATTATGACAAACTTGACTCAAGTACTATTTTTTAAAAAATTTTATTGAAGTATAGTTGATTTACAATGTTGTGTTAATTTCTACAGTACAGCGAAGTGACTCAGTTTTATGTGTATATATATATATATATTTTTCCATTATGGTTTATCACAGGCTATTAAATATAGTTCCCTGTGCTATACAATAGGACCTTGTTGTTTATCCATCCTATATATACTAGTTTGCATCTGCTAATCCCAAACCCCACCCCGCCCTTGGCAACCACAAGTCTGTTCTCTATTGACTCGAGTACTCATAAATCCTATCCACTGTTTAAAAAACTGTGGTCAGAAATCACAAGTTGGTTCTAAACTCTTGAATTTCACCTGTTATATGTGTCTAGTTAAGAATCATTTAATTTCAGCAGCGTCAAGTTTTCTCTGTACAAAACAGGCAAGGGGTAAAAATGTAATCTAATGCTTCTTCTCTCAGCTAAAAGAGGCTAAAGATTTAGCTCAAAAAGCCTTAAGTTTAAACAGAAATTGTTCTGTCTTTGGATGCCAAGCTGCCTTGAAGAAAGCAAGCACTTGGGTAAGAGTTGGTATAACAACATTGGAGAAAGTCTTTAGGCTATAATAAAAGGGTTTTAGAGGAGGTAGAAAATTTCTGTTCAAAACTTTGAAAGAACATCAAGCTTAAAATAAACAGTGTAGGAATTATAGAATACTAGAGCTAGAAGAGACCTTAGATATTATTTAATCCAAACCCCATGTTTTATCGGCAAGGTCCTCAGAGGTGAGATGTCTTGCCCATGGTCACCAAATTAAGTGATACATTCTGGACTTAGATCATAGTAATACAGAGCCAGAAAGAATTAATAAATCATTTAAGAGATGGAAATAAACTTGTTTAATAATAGTTAGCCTCACTCATTAAGGACAGAGCTTTTTGTATCCACAATGTCCAGCATAGTATTTGGCATATAATGGGTGCTTGATGAATTCTTTAATTGAAATTAAACGTTAGGGAATAACACACTTCATTGCCCATCATTAAATCTTGCTCTGAAATACATATATTTCAGTAAGTAATAAGTAATTAATAATCATTATGTCTACTGTTTAAATACTTCTATTTTTATAAAACGTGGTGTAATTGAATAGATGGCAGTATACACTTTGTCTCACTTAACCACACCTGTTGGAAGCTTAGCTGTTCAGTCTAGAAGGCCACACATAGCCATTGCCACAGTGCACTTGTTAGCAGATTAATTAACTTTCAGACAAGCAGTGGATAAAAATACTCAGACTCCATAGAAATGTTTTGCAAACACAAACATATATAGACAGCAAATATTATACTTTTATTTGGTTTTCTGTTCATTAAAATAAAATCCTCGGGCTTCCCTGGTGGCGCAGTGGTTGAGAGTCCGCCTGCCGATGCAGGGGATACGGGTTCGTGCCCTGGTCCGGGAAGATCCCACATGCCGCGGAGCGGCTGGGCCCGTGAGCCATGACCGCCGAGCCTGCGAGTCCGGAGCCTGTGCTCCGCAACGGGAGAGGCCACAACAGTGAGAGGCCCGCGTACCGCAAAACAAAACAAAACAAAACAAAACAAAAACCCGTGGAACCTGTGTCCCCTGCATCGGCAGGCGGACTCTCAACCACTGCGCCACCAGGGAAGCCCCCAAATGGTTGTTTTTGATGGGTCACTTTTTCATACAAAAGTGAATGCTACCTATGTCATTACCTGTGAACTAAAATGATTTCCTGGTCTCCTAGGCTAGTGCGAATCTGGGAAGAACGAGTGAGCTTAACCAAGCTAAGAGAAAAGGTCACCAGGGAAGATGGAAGGGTCATTTTGAAGATAGAAAATGAGGAATGGAAGGTAAGCTTTATAGAAGTAATATTTGATTTTTTATATTTCGCATTTTGTGGGAGAGTTGAGAGAATGATTCTTAAATTATGTGCTTAAGTCTGGAATAGTTAGGAATTCTAATTTTAATAATGTACCAAATGAATTTGGGCAACATGAACTGAAAATTAATGTAACTTCACAAAAACTTTTTATTGCAAAACTTCAACCAATGTGCTTTAACTCTGCCTAAATTTAAGTCATTTGTAATATTTCTCCCACTAATCCTTCTAATAAGTAATTTCTCATTTTCCGTAAAAAGGTGACCATCTGCTTAACAAAAATTGTGTAGCTTTTTCAAAGCAAATGCTCAACTAAAAGCAGCAGAAGGTGTTTTAAATAAAGCTTTGGCCTTAAAGTAAAAAAAACAGCAAATGCTCAGTTAAAACTTCACAAAATGGAAATGTATATTAATTTTTTTCTTAGGTCCACAACCAAATTCACATTATCTCCTCTTTCTCTCTTTCCCTCTTTCTCCCTCTCTCTCACACACACACAAACATAGTTGCTTAATTACATTAGGCCTACTCTAAGTTTGACAAAGGCCACCTCTATCCCTTGAGTCAGTGTTTGTTTTCATACATATCAGTATACTTAGCTAGGGGGCTAACTCCTGTATTTTGTCTTTTGGCTACTTTAGGCTGAAAGGGAAAAGGCATAGAGTTCAGTATAGTTGAAACTTTTAAAATTCTTAAATTAAAAGAAAATCTGCTTAAAAAAACTAAACTATTTCAAAACAGAATGGGAAGAGAAGTTTGAATTGATTAGAATGATCTTTTTGTTTCTCTATAATTTCAATTAGCCACCATATTCTCATGTTCAGTAACATATGTATTCTAGTTAAGCCTAATAAAATAGAATCTTTAGAACACAGCTCTATGTGTGTGCAATATTGACTGAAATATGTTATTTCTGTTTATGTTATTATGATTGGAGTTTGAAGGTTTAGCACCCGCCAAAAAAGGAAAGTTCTTAAAACTTAGAAGTAGCACAAAGTATTTGGAAATATAACCCATTAAAGAAAAAATATTCCTAAGTTCTTTTACAAATCAAATAGTATCTCTACAGTCATATTTCTGTATGTCATGATACTAAAATAATTTAAGTAATATAGTAACTTTCATTTTTTTTACTTGAGTTTAGACCCTCCCTTCTTCTCTACTAAAACTAAATCAGCTACAGGAATGGCAACTTCATAGAACTGGCTTGGTGAAAATTCCTGAGTTCATTGGAAGATTCCAGAACCTTATTGTGTTAGATTTATCTCGAAACACAATTTCAGACATACCTCGAGGAATTGGTAAGGAAAATTGCTTTTATTCCTGTGTTTTTCACTGATAATTTTTTTTGATACATGGAATAAAGATCTCATCTTTATATAGTCCTGAATCTTAAAATTTTAAACATCTAGTCTAACCTGAAGCTTCCAGGGGATTCAAGCTTCTGGATTTACTGAGGTGATTCAAGATGAGATTTCAATGCAAGAGAAGTCTCTTTGGAAATAATATTGTGTAGATTCTGGAAACAATATTGTTGGTTTGGTTATTTCTCTTAGAAGGGAACAAATTGAAGACAAGAAAGAAAATTAGAAATAATTTCTTAAATGAGGAAAAAAAAATCCCCAAATGGAAAACTAGTCAGGATATAGTATAGATAAAACAGAATGAAAAAAATATTTTTGTCTATAGCACTGATAAATCACCAGCTCTTTATCTGAAGAAGGGGCAAGACACACAGTGGGAAAAGGGAAGAGCCTAAGTGTGAATTTGCCAATATGAAACGGGCAAGTAAGTTATGCTGTAATACTTAATAACTGGAAACATTATTTTATATCCCTCTGCTCTCTACTGTGTATTATTTTCCCGTAGGACTGCTAACTAGACTTCAGGAACTGATTCTTAGTTACAACAAAATCAAAACTGTCCCCAAGGAACTAAGTAACTGTGCCAGACTGGAGAAACTTGAACTTGCTGTTAACAGAGATATATGTGATCTTCCACAAGAGGTCAGAATGATATAAATACTTATGATTTTATTTTCCTTCTACTGGTGGTTTACCTCTCCACTGCGTGATCATTAAAAATAACACTAATGGAAAAATGCTATAAATTTTATTTCAGAAAATGTTTAGTGAAAACCATTTCCTATTATTATAAAGCACGTTTTTAACTAGAGAAAGATTTATTTAGCATAAAAAGCTATTTCTATTATTGTTACAGTACTGACATCATTAGTGATCTCCTTGAAGGCCAGAGTGAGAATCTTATTTATTTCACTTCCCAGAACTGAAGGTACAGCCTAGGTTGTAGATGTTACTTAATGCCTATTGAATGAATAAATGATTATCATAAAGCACAATGTGGTGACAGAAAAACTCTTTTGTTTATTAGTTAGTTTTTATAGGTGATCAGCTTTTGAGATAGAGGTAAAGTAAAAAGACATGAATTCTTCAGTTTAGGAAAAGTGTCTGCTAGCTTCCTAGGCTCTACCAAGTAAAGCAAGGCAGTGGGCTTGGAAAGCCCTCAGACTTTGATTTGGTATATCTTGTTCTTGGTAAGACCAAACTGATCATAGAGATATAGACATTCCTATCATTTTTCAAGCATATTTAAGGCTCTTAGAATCAGCAAAGGAAATTTCCTTGGTGCTTTGCCTTGAAAACAATGATTTTGCAAGATAAAAGTTAAGAAAAATAATAAAACTCAAAATAAAAGACTATTCCCCTTTCCCACTTTATCTTGGTAAGAATGTCACTTTCCTCCCCAAACCAGTAAACATGCACCCATTATTGTTGCTCTTGCAAGTAAAACATAGTTTCTATAGCTATATCCATCTGATCTTATAATAGTTCAGTTTAGTGAAATGTATACACTTGATTATGATGAAAATCATGATCACAGGGACAATTTCTTTATACCTAAAAGAGGGCCAATAAACATTTTATTTCTAATTTTTAATTATTGTGATTTTGTTTCTAGCTTTGGTTCTGTCACTAAAAAGCTATGTGAATTTGGGCATGTCTCTTAACCTGTCTTTACCTTAATGTCTCTACTTAAAGAAATACGTTTTACAGGAACAAATAGTGAACTGAGATCTTGAGCCTGGAATTATTTCCAAGTGTGGCCTTTAAGTAGCTGTGAGGCCTTGAACACACCACTTTACATAACTAGGTCTCAATTTTCACATATGCAAAATTAAGACTTAGATTACAATGGTTTTAATATCTTTCTTCAAGCTTTTAAAACCAAAGAGTTATAGTCCCACTGAGAAATCTGCAACAGGAGATTTAACTCTCAGCCATTAAATTGCACACACTGTAACACACAAACAAATTTATGCTAATGTAAAAACAATCTTTTTATACACTATTCTGACTCATTTGAAAATTTTAAAAGTCTGATGACAAGTTTTGAAAAGTGTTTCATTCATGACGAATTATAAAGCTAGAGAAATATCACCTACTAAATGGAAAACTTCTTTTTTGCATTACCCATAAAACGCTGTATTTGTGCATTTTTTGAGGTGTTAAAGTTGTGGAATGAATCTGAATGTGCCCTGAGATAGAAATAAAACATAGAACTTGCCTAGCTAAATGGAGAGTCTTTTGTAAAAGTTAACTAAATTCTTACATTTTGAAATTTTCACTACAGAGGAAAGAGAAATTTAGAAATTTTGCAGCTTTAGGTCCACAAAAACTTGAGTGCACATCATAGCTCCATCATTTCTAGTCACATGGCTTCTCTAAACCATTTTGTCCATAAAAGGGAAAAAAGGTACTCACCTTGTAAAGTTGATGAATAAACTAGAGCTATATGCATCAATGTGAATACATATAAAGACTGAGATTGAGAGAAAAAAGCAAGTTAAAGAAAGATAAGTACAGTATCATCTTTAAATAAAATTCAAAAACATATAAAGATAATTTTGTTTATGAAAAATACACATAATAGTAATATATAGAGAGAACTATATAGAAAACATGTATTTATGCATAGTAATAAAAACATTTAAAAAATGCAGGGGAATAATAGATACCAAATTCAGGATAGAGTTATCTTCAAAGAGGAAGAAGGAAGAAGTACATTGAGGGCAGTCATATTGATATATTTGTTTTCTTAAGCTGAGCACACTGGTTTTGTTATATAGTCTTAATAAATGTTTTATTGATGTTTTCATTTTAAAAATGGAATTACCAAACAGTAAATTCTATGACTGAGATAATGTTATGTAAAGCATCAGGCACGGGCTTCCCTGGTGGCGCAGTGGTTGAGAGTCTGCCTGCCGATGCAGGGGACACGGGTTCGTGCCCCGGTCCGGGAAGATCCCACATGCTGCGGAGCGGCTGGGCCCGTGAGCCATGACCGCTGAGCCTGCGCGTCCGGAGCCTGTGGTCTGCAACGGGAGAGGCCACAACAGTGAGAGGCCCGCGTACCGCAAAAAAAAAAAAAAAAAAAAAAAAAAAAAAGCATCAGGCACAAAGAAAGGGGGTTAACAAAAGTAATTATTATTCTGAAGTTTGGGTTTTCCCAAGAAAATCTCAACTACTAGATAAAAGGAAAACATAACATATATTTACTCCCAGAAAGAAAAAAAAAAAGCTTCTGCCAGGCAGGTGCTATAAACCCTGGAGCTTGGTTATTTTGGAAGATAAGCTTTCTTTGAATAGATGAACTTTCTATGAGAGAGTTTTTCATTTATCTGGAGGTTATTTAGCATTATTGTTATCTCAAATTTGTTGTGGACTGCTGTGACTAAATAAAGTGCAAGCATCATGTAGACAATCCTTGATGTGATATATCTCCTTTACCATTGTGGGTGTTCTAGTAGTTTACGTTGTTGACATTTATTTTGAAAAACCTTGCCTTCCTCTTCAGCTCAGCAACTTGTTAAAGCTTACTCACCTTGATCTGAGTATGAACCACTTTACTACAATCCCTCCTGCTGTGTTGAACATGCCTGCCCTTGAGTGGCTTGATATGGGAAGCAACAGACTTGAACAACTTCCTGATACTGTAGAAAGGTAACATAAATAACTTTTTTTGCTACCAAGAGACGTGTTGAAGCTCTCTATGATAAATAAGAAAGAATAAACAAAACACAGGGGACCCCAAGCATAATCAATCACAATAGATCCATTTAGTTCCAAATAATGTATGCTACTTTTTAATAGAATATATCCATGTACTCCAAATTTAAAAAAAAAAAAAGGGTTTTGAGGAATTCCCTGGTGGTCCAGTGGTTAGGACTCAGCGCTTCCACCGCAGAGGGTTGGGTTTGATCCTTGGTCAGGGCACTAAGATCCCACAAGCCACGTGGTACAGCCAAAAAAAGAAAAGGGGGGGCCGGTTTGGGAGAGAAAAACTGGCTATCTGACTTGAACAAATTGACAAGAATAGGCCACAGCAATAACAACATTGCTTAGTGCATGCCAGGCACTTCTGTGCACTTTAAAAACATTGAGGAAACTAATGTAGAGATGATAGTAAATTGCTCAAGATCACAGTTAGTAAGTGTGCCAGTTAGGATTTGAACCCAGGCACCCTGGCCCCAGAGTCCATGCTGTTAACCATTATGCATACTTGCCTTGCCCTAAATGGGCATATTAATAATTTCTGAGTTTCCTCTTAAGACTCTAATTCAGATTAGATAGCCTTTTAGCAGGTCTTCTGCAAGAAATCCTATGAGAATAGTGAAGAATTCTAGAATACATTGATTTAATTTCTACCACTACATGATGAGAACTATACAGTAGATAGAGATTAACTCCCTTGTTATAGTTTCCCTAAAATCAGGTAATGTGAAGTCAGTTAACTCAATATGTATACTGGTTAAAGGAGATGTTGTACAAGATGACATTTAAAAATATTTTGGGTTAATAAGAACCAGGGTTTTCATATTGTATGTGATTAATCACAGGAACCTCTTAATTCTTCAGAATGCAAAGTCTACACACATTATGGCTCCAACGGAATAAAATAACATGCTTGCCAAAAACAATCAGCAATATGAAAAATCTGGGTACTCTTGTTCTCAGCAACAATAAACTGAAAGATATTCCAGTGTGCATGGAAGAGATGACCAATCTAAGGTAAAAGTTGTAGACACAGAACTGACATGTTCCTTTCTGGCTGCAGAACAAAGTAATATAAAGAAATTGTTATTAACAGATTTGAGCTCTCATTCACATAAATGAATACATTTAAAAATCTTTTCCAACCTTGAAATTCTATAATTTATAAAGAGGATAAATATAATACTGGTCTAAATTATTCAAGAAAGAATCCTTGAAACTAAAGCTGTACTGGGATTTATCAGCTTTAAGGAATGCCCTGTGTTGGTGACATTTTCCTGAAAATCATCTCTATAACCGCTAACAAACTTTATCCACGATACAGTTTTATCCACGATAAACCAAAACCATAAGAATAGTGATTATTTTCCTCCTAAATAACTACAAATGGACAAGGCAATTACGTTAGAGGTAAATATAACTTTTTACTAAGTTAATTACTAACAGAACTCCCTCAAATAACTTCCAAAACTTAATTTCCTGACAGTGAGCATAAGATGTGAGAATTCACACCAAATCCCACAACTTTCATAACAAAATCATTCATTTACTTATTCAGCAACTACTAAGCCTTGTACTAGATGGTGACGATACAATGATAAATAAGACATGCTTTATAAAATATGCAGAAAATTTAAATTCATAGCATTAACTGTATATTTGAGATGCATTAGGGTTGCTCTTGGAAGTTAAAGTGTACCACATTACACATATGCTATGGACTAATAGTTGCTTTTACAAGCTTGGAAAATAAGTTGTCTAAAGCTAATATTTTTTTCTTCTAGGCAAGAAATTTAAAGATTCTTGGGATATATCACATCTCACCAAGATGTTCAGTTACTGAAACCAGTTAAAAAAAAAAGTAATTTAGTATATTACCACTTGATCTTTCTCCAGGAAAATAAATGTACACTTCTATGGCACCTATAAAAATACTGTTTTTTGGTGAACTGCTAGGTTTGTCAACTTCCGAGACAACCCACTGAAATTGGAAGTAACGCTTCCTCCTGGAGAAAACACAGATGAGGAAGAGGAAAGGGAATTATTCGGCCTTCAGTTTATGCACACGTACATACAGGAGTCACGGAGAGCAGGTATGAGATTTGTACATAACACAGGTTAAGAATTCTTTTTAATAGAGGAACGCATATATATATATATATATATATATATATATATATATATATATAAATTCCTTTATAGACTTTTCGTTCCATCTTACCTTTTGTCAAATTCTGGTCTCTTCGTTAACATTGTTGAAGCAAAAAAAAGTGAAATTGTAATCTGTTCACGATTTTGATAAAGGCTTGGAGAGAAAGGTTGTAAAGATACTGAAAATCTTTCAAGTAGAGTCAGGAAATAAACTTCTTTGGTCAAGCACTTGAAGCACGACCAAGTGAATAAAGATGTAATTCTTAAAGCTTCATTACCTCATTCTATCAGTTTGTCATGTCAGTTTACTCATGAACACTACCTTCCCTGCCATTTCCTCTTTGTCTACAATAATCCACAAATAGCAAAAAGAAATATTTTGACTAGGAATGAAAACTATTTTGCTACTGTGCCTAGGAATGAAAAATATCAAGAGAACATAGATTTTAGCCAACAGTTAAAATGTGAGTTTTTGATATATAGGCTTCAATCACTTTTATCTCTGATAATTTAGAATTAAAACCTCTTTTTTGTTGTTTTTTTAACTAAGGAAGGAATGACTTTAACTTAACCCAAGATTAGGGGAAGAGGACAAACAGCATAACTTTCTGTTAATAAAAAATATAATAGGACTTCCCTGGTGGTACAGTGGTTAAGAATCCGCCTGCCAATGCAGGGGACATGGGTTCGATCCCTGGTCCAGGAATATCCCACATGCTGCGAAGCCATCTCAATGAGAAGCATGTGTACCGCAAGGAAGAGTAACCCCCGCTCACTGCAACTAGAGAAAGCCTGTGTGTAGCAACGAAGATCCAACACAGCCAAAAATAAATAAAATATAAATTTTAAAAAAACAGCTTTATAAAAAAAATAAATAGTATAGTAATGGAAAACATGGTTTTATAATTCACTAAAATGTGAAGAATTTTTGAGTTAAAAGGTAGAGTTTAGTTACCTCTTCAAATAGTTACTTTGAAGAACAGGTAGAATCTGAGCAAAGATAGAGTATTTTCAGCTGGAGAAAATATTTTTACCAACATCCAATAGAGGTCATTAGATCTGTTGTAGCAAGGTCACAGAAACAGTAACATGGAGGTTAGACTGGAGGAAGATATGTAAAAAAGCTGTAATAGTTTGGGGCCTAGGTTTGAAAAGTACAGTATAAATATATAAAAGCCAAGTAGGAGACAGAATTGATGACTGAAGATGAGAAGAGGGAGGAGTCCAGGATGAATCTGTTTTTGGTTAGAGCAACTGGATGAATGGTGGTGCTGAGATGGGGAAATGAAATATAGAAGCTGGTTTGGTGGTAGAAGTAGAACATGAGCTTCAGTTTTAACAGTAAATTTGATATATCTGTGGGACATGCAGGAAGAGGTAGTTGTGTAGATCAATCTAAAGTTCAAGGAGTTTGCTGAACCTGCAAATTCTGCAGGTCGAGAAACAGCTATAATGCATATCCCATGTATTCACTGTCTCATGTAATCTTAAGGGAAATAAGCAAGGTTGGGGAAAACAATAATCTTGGTACAGCTGGCATGTTGAAGAACAACCTTATCTTCCCATAGAGGACTTGGTATCATTGTCAGAAACATTCATTGGGCCACAGGACTCTATCAGTATAATTGTGTGTGTGTGTATGTTTTATGAAATATAACAGAGATAATGCCTGTTGTAGCATAGCTTTTATTTCTGGGCATAAATTGTTGAATGAAGCAAAACAGACTGTATAACACAAATTAGCATTGCCTAACTGAGTAAAATCAGGTTAATTATTGAACGACGTATTATTATCTTCATTTATGTTCTCTTGAGTTGGGGGCATGAGTAGCTAATTTAAACAAACTACTTTATTTTAATAATATTTGACATAGAACTTATAACAAGAGAAAAAAGGTTACAACTTAAACAGAGATAATAAAACCAAGTCTGCCTATTTCATTAAAAATATTGTTATGAATTACTACTATTAAAAACGGTTAATATTTATTGAGTACTTACTCTGTACTTAGAACTGTTCTAAGCATTTTAATGTGTTATTTCATTTAATGCTCATAACAACCTTGTGAGGTATTATTATTATCTTCATCACGCCCACTTTAAGCGGGGAATTGAGGCACAAAGAGATCAAGTAGTAGGGTTGGGGTTTGAACCTAGGCAGTCTCATAAGACATGTAAGATTAAAGTAGAAAGGTCAGAAACTAAAAATGAGCTAGACTTCTAATTTATAATTAAGGTAATCATAGACCTACAAATAATAGTTACCTAAGAATATCATTATAAATATCTACAATCAGTAATTCTGTATCTTTGTCTTGGCAAATGTACAATGATTAAGATAAGTTTTACAAATAAGGCAGAAATAAACCAAGGATAAGATGAGGAAAAGACTAACAGTCTTACCATATGTTTGGTTTAATGTTTTTTTGTGCATAGAAACTGCTTATGAGCTAAATGAGGCCCGAAAGTGAGGTTTTTGGTATCACTATCTAATTTCTACTTTATTCCAAATTATTTTCCCAAACAGGAGAGAATATATTTGCTCTTGTATATGTAAAAATGACCTTTTAAAAGATATGACACCTAATTAACTTCAGAAGTTATTTGCAAATTTCAATTTAATTTGTGAATTAGGCTTACAAGTATCTTTTTAGAAGTTCTCACTAGATAATTAATATAAAAAATGAAGTGAAATAGTTTTTTTCCTTGAAAATATCTTTTTAGGGGCTTCCCTGGTGGCACAGTGGTTGAGTCTGCCTGCTGATGCAGGGGACACGGGTTCATGCCCTGGTCCAGGAAGATCCCACATGCTGTGGAGCGGCTGGGCCCCTGAGCCATGGCCACTGAGCCTGTGCGTCTGGAGCCTGTGCTCCGCAGCAGGAGAG